AGTCCAACACTTGCTGAAGTGTGGTCTGATCTAGACACGTTGTTAGTTTCTATTTAATGTGCTCTTCTTTGGCCTTCAAGGCCTCAATAGTAAAATTGGTCTGTCTCACCCGTTCATTCAGCAGCTTGGTCTGTGCCTTCTGAAGGATCTTGCTTGCCCAGTGCCCGCTGACCGACAATTTTAGTTCCAGGCTCTTGGGAATGATGCCACTTTGTCGACATCTGAGGTTGAATCGCAAGTGGTTCCTGTAGTCTGCCCTCTTCCTTGCTGTTTTCTCAAACTCTCTAACTAGTTTGAGGCAATCCTGGCCAAAGTGGTTCAAAATATCCTGATGCATACTCAATAATCCAGGTAGAAAAATCCAAAAAAAGTTCAATCTGGTCCTCTGGACATTGCTTTTTTTTTTTTTTTTTTTTTTGAATGTGACATTGTGGGGGGCAATGAATCATGTTCAATAAATTCATTATACACTGAAAGGAGTAACGGAGCTAATTTGTCTGTAAATGTTTTAAAAAATTTGACAGAAAACCCATCTGTACCTGGTACTTTACCATTGTGTATAGTTTTAATTGCGCTCATGATTTCCTCCAATTGAAGGGGTGCATCTAATTCCCTGGCCATGACAGCATCAACAGTAGGCAATGTAAGATCTTTAAGAAAAGAGGCCAATTCAGAGGCATCAGCTGTCGATTCAGATTTATATAAAGAGAAGTATTGTTGTTTAAACACTTCATTTACATCTTTTGGGTCAGAAACCAAGTTGTCTGCTGTGTCCTTAATTTGAGTTATTATTGAGAAGGGGCATGATGCTTTAACTGATGAGCTAAGAGCCTACTCAGCTTATCACCATGTTCATAATAAGTTACACGTGAACAGAGTAAGAGTTGCTCAGCCTCTACTGTAGAGAGCAAATCAAATTCGGTCTGCAGGTCAAGTTGGATTAGCCACTACCCGTCTGTCTATGTCACAAATTTGTGTAGTTAAATTTAGAAATTTAGCTTTACGATCTCTGCTGGAATGAACAGAGAAAGAAATTATCTCTGTACACGTAGATATGCTTTAAGAGATTCCCATAGTAATGATCTTGTAACAGTGTCATTTTCATTATAGTCTATATACTCATCAATTGTGGATTTGATATAGGCAATAAATGCCTCGTCTGAGAGCAGCAAGGAGTTGAACCTCCACAGTGAGGAAAAAGAGGGCTGGGTTATGAGTTTAATATCAACACTAAGTGGTGCATGATCAGAAATAACCATTGGATGATATTCAGATCATAATACTTTTGGCATGAGAGAAACATCCACAAAAACACAATCAATACGTGTAAAAGACTGATGTACCAGAGAGAAAAAAGAATAGGTTTTGGCAGTAGGGTTAAAAAACCTCCAAGGATCCACAAATCTATTCTGGATCATAAACTCTGAAACAGACATGGACAAAGAAGATTGGATCAGCGTCTGGGGGTTTGAGTGGTCTACCTGGGATCAATAGCACATTTTAGATCTCCAGCCAGTATCAGAGGGTGAGTGTCAAGAAAAGAGAGGCTACTCAACAATTTATCTGTGAACCCAGGGTTATGAGCATACCTATTGACTAACAAGACAGGGACGTTATAAATGTTGCCTCCAACGATCAAGTATCTCCCATTTTTGTCAGCTCTAATCTATGACACTTTAAGCTGTAGTCTTTTGCTAATTAAAATGGCCACCCCACTGGTTTTTGAATTAAACATTGAGTGAAATACATGTAACACCCATGGACACCGGAGTTTAACTTGGTCCCTATCTCATAAATGAGTCTCTTGTAAAAACATTACATCACCTCTCAGAAGTTTTAGATGAAAAAATATTTTAGATCATTTAATGGGGCTATTCATACCCTTTACACTTTAATATTTTTGCTATTTTTGGGTGTAACTGGGACCTTGAGTACACAATTTCGTTCCACCACATGTGATGCGAATTACTATAAAGAACCTTGAACCTTTACATTCCAAGTTAGAAATCTAATACCGCTAAATTCTCGGTGCTTAAAATTGGTGCCTCTGAGCCCAGAGAATTCTCGCCGCATGATAGCAAATAGCAATATCAGAGGAAAGTTCTGGTTTTAGCGCCTGTATTTTGGTCTTAATGGTTGAGAGATTCTTCCCAAGTGCTGCATGAAGTTCCTTCTTCAACATGGCTGAAATCTCTTCACAAAGTTCGGAGAGGAGTTCACTCATTGTTGACTTGTCCACATGGACAAGCGGTGTGTCGGATGTCCCAGGCTGCGGCGAAGTTCTACTGTGAAGCGAGGATATAGCACTAGCAGCAGTCTGCAGGCTAGGCTAAGAGGTATTTGTGTTTTTACTGACTTTTTGCGACATTATAAATGCCAGAAATAAAAACAATCTTGTTTCAGACAAGTACTATAGAAGACAAGTACTATAGAAGACAAGTACTACAGAACTCAAGTACTACAGAAATCAAGTACTACAGAAATCAAGTACTATAGAAGTCAAGCACTACAGAAGTCAATTACTACATGGTAAATGGTAAATGGACTGTACATATATAGCGCCTTTCTATCTTATCGAGATACTCAAAGCTCTTTATAACAATCTGTGCCTCATTTACTCATTCATACAGAACTCTACTAGATCTCTACAAAGCTAATTGAACAAATCATTCTAAAGAGACTAATCAGAGCTTTATCACATTCATACATTGATGGGACACACAGAGACATCGAGGGGTTCAGTGTCTTGCCCTGAGACACTTTGACATGTGACTGGTGTTGGATTCGAACCCCCAACTCTTGCATTGGAGGTTGACTGCCCCAACCACTCAGCCACAGCCGCCCCCAGACGACAAGTACTACAGAAGACTTCTACAGAAGACAAGTACTACAGAAGACAAGTACTATAGAAGTACTATAGAAGTCAAGTACTACAGAAGAGAAGTACTATAGAAGTCAAGTACTACAGAAGACAAGTACTATAGAAGACAAGTACTACAGAAGTCAAGTACTATAGAAGACAAGTACTATAGAAGTCAAGTACTATAGAAGTACTATAGAAGTCAAGTACTATAGAAGTACTATAGAAGTCAAGTACTATAGAAGTACTATAGAAGTCAAGTACTGTATAGAAGTACTATAGAAGTCAAGTAGCTGGAGCTAGGTTAAGACAGCCTTAAGCCCCCAGTATACTGCCGCGTATGTCCGTTCACGCGTACATACGTGTGTACTGTACGCAGAGGGTTCAGACATGATACTCTAGCGTACACCCCGAGCAGCTGCAGAGCAGCTTCACAGACAAGGGGTGTTTACCTTAGGGACAAATTAAGGTCGCCGATTGGTCATTTGCTGACACGCCTACTGGATTGATTGACAGGTCGGGGGGAAAAAACAAGCGCTGGCAGCCTCAGCCGCAGCAGTGTTCTGTGTTTATATGTTATTAATAAAAAGATCTAAAAAAACAAAACAAAAAAAAAAAACAGGGAGCGCTGGCTCTGCAGCCTACACATCAGAGCAGCCCACCAGGAAATCTCCAGACCCTCCCGCAGCCACGCTGGACCTGAGTTTAATTCGCTCGTGACAAATTCCTTCATTTCTCACCATTTCTGTCATGGCATCAACGGAGGAGGAAGAGATCACTTGCCTCTTGGCAAAAAAACAAAAGAAAAGGCCAGATCAGGGATGAAGAAGGGGAATTTAACACATTGGTGTTGCATACAAAACAGTCCGTCGCTGGGCAGTTTATTGTGCGACACCGCATACGCGTATGCGATCGCAAAAATTGAGCTTTGCACGGACATGCCCTGGGGGGTACGCTAGCTACGCTACCTGTCAATCAATCCAATAGGCGTGTCAGCAAATGACCAATCGGCGACCTCAATTTGTCCCGAAGGTAAACGCCCCTTGTCTGTGAAGCTGCTCTGCAGCTGCTCAGGGTGTACGCTGGAGTACGAAGTCTGAACCCTCTACGTACCGTACACGCGTACGTACGCGTGAACGGACATACGCGGCAGTATACTGGGGGCTTTAGCCTCCACGGACTTCAATGACGACTGAAGGACTCACAACACCTTGATCAGCAAAGGTAGACCACCATCGCCCCTCCCCCTAACCTCGTTAATAAGCTAAAAAAGCTCTATAACAGGTCTGACAAGTCTGGCAGCACCACATTCCTTTTAGACGCCCATCTTCCTTGCTCCCATCCACCACCTCCACTGTCGATTCTGAGCCAAGGTCACGGTTCAATTATAATCTCGTGGTTACAGTTCAGATTACTCCGCCGCTGCACCTCTCATCTCCTCCTTACACTCACTCACTGGGTGAGTGGGGATGACACCTGAAGCTGTTAAGATATTCTACAAATTTAATGTACGTTATGCCTCAGGTCCTGTTGGAGGGTATCCAGCTGTTCTGAAGCTCGGTCAGACACAGCTCTGTTCTCTTGGTTTATCAGAAAATCGTTGTTGAGCACCATGTCACCCAGAGCTGGAAAAGGGCTATCATCATCCCGGTATGACAAATGTGAATATTTTTGTGCATGTGTACTTCTCAAACTTTGTACATACACTTCATTGCACTTTTCTGTTGCAGCCTCAGTCTACTCTCTGTTTGCTCCTGCAGGGAAGTATCTGACTTTTCCAACCTTTAACCAGTTTGTGTTCTGATCATTGGCCAATCTCGCTCCGTGTTGTCTTGATCTTCGCTTCCAGCTTCCTCCTCCATGGGATAAAATGCTCCTTATAAAGTTGTAGCCTTGATCGTTATTGCAGACTCTAACTTTATCACTTCTCATCATAAGAAGATCCAAATCTAAATCTGTCATGAAACGCAACAGGAAATATGCATTCCGTCAAGGAACGTTCAGCCATTTAAATGTTTAGGGACATTTCTTTATGGAGGATCTGTACTCCCGATTCTCCCATTAAACTGTTATTTACCTTCAGCGTTACTGTAATCCACAAAGATTATACATTTTACAGGAAAGGAAGACTTTGTCTCACCCAGAACTGAACCTCTGAACCTGCAGGGTGTAGCGCGTGGCTGAAATGTCTCCGGGTTCCCAATGGCAGGTGACGTTACTTTTTATAATGAACACACAACAAATCAGCCGAGGAGGTCGGGGGGAGGCCTCAGACATTGATACTGGAAAAAAAATAATGAAGACAAGGAAAAAGTTGGGAGTCAATGACACAGTAAAGAATGTCCTCTGAAAAGGAAAGTGCTTTGGGGTTCATTCAACTGCAGCTATTTTCAAAGAAAAAAAAACATGAATTCGATAAAAGCAACTGCTAATAATTTCCTTTTTATAAACGATTGCTGGCAAGATGTCAGCACTAGCAAATCAGCATTTCTAATATTGTTTTCATTAGAAAACATAAAAATCATGATAAAATAAACAATGACACAACTTAGATTTATTCAAACTGAACGTGAATGATAACCTGAAATGCTGGAAAGTTCAAAATCAACTCAGACAAGACAAAACATGACTGGTTTGTTCATCTGACACCACCACTAGTTTGCCAGTGACAATTATGGACATGATTACCAGTATACTTTATGTTGCATAAGTTGAGTTCCTCATTCTTGAGGCCTGTCACACTATAACGTCTCAGATTTATGTTCAGTCTGCAGAAGGATGGGGATGATTGTATTAAACGCAGTGCTAGAATCTAGAAAAGAGACTTTAGCGCTGCAGCTTTTGTTCACGTCATCTAGAAGATTATGAAGTCTGATATTCACAGAGACTATAAGATTTATGCAGAAATGTGAGAATTGTGTCCAACATGCTGGCATATGCTGGAGATGGAATAAAAAAATGAACTAGAAGTCTCTTTTGGAGATATACGTACTGTATTGCTAATAATTAAACCAATATATAACCTTTCTCAGCTTATACATAACTTATGCAAGCGTATGAGAGCATTTTTGTGGCTCTCCTGGCTGGAAATGGCGCATGACAACTTGTGCCATTGTATATCAATGTACTGGTAACTTATTCAAAACATACACCTAACTTATGAGACATAAATCAGCGTGTTGGCCACGTTTTCATACGTTAACGCCGACGCCATATGTCACTGTGTGACAGGGACGATGTCTCTGTTCAGGACTGAGCAGGCCCGTGTCTGGTAGAAAATATAGACTTCATTCATATCAGGACTAATCAGATACTTGTGAGCTCAATCTAATTTTTCTGCTTTAATATTCACAAACACCTTGCAAGAAATATGCAGTTTTGCATTTAAAGGCACGAGAAGAATCTAAAAACTTGTTTTTTTTTTCTTTCCACTTTTGTGAACTGGTTTTATTGTCCTCTGTGGCCATAAGTGGAAAAAAGCAATAATGCTTTTGCCCAGGTTTGTGTGCACGTGTGCGTATGTGTGTGTTAAAATATCTCTTTATTCTCTAGGCATAGTTTAATGAAAATTTTATAAAACATTTACGGGGTATTACATCTACAATTGATTACCTTTTAAATTCAGTTCAATTAAAAATTGCACCCACAACTAATTAACACTAGTGGATACAAACATGTCTTTACCTCAGTCTCTGATCCACTATGAGAAGGTGCTATTTATAGGACTGAGTTTGTTGCAGCTCCTCACATTGAAGAAGTCTTTTGGATAAAAGACGAAACGATTCATCAAAGAAGAATCCATCCAGAGGACCTGACTCAACCTTGTTAGATTTATCTACCTGGATTATTGAGCAGCATCAGGACATTTACTTCAGTCAGGTTTGCAAATAATTAACTCAAACTTGATATAGTTGCTAAGAGTCATTCTAGAGCTTGCAATACTTTATGAGATTGCACATGACATCATCTTCAAGGTTTGACAGCTTCATTTAAGGCGACAGGCAATAGGCATTCTTATAAGTAATGCAAGACTTTAATTTAAACAATAAATCCTCCTTTTGTTCTAATGATGACATGTTCTCAACACCACTCATACATGATGGCACATGCTCACAGTCTGCTTTGAACTAGAAGGAAGTGAACGTTACTCAGAGAAAGTCCAGCTCCCAGCAGGAGGGTCCACACCACAGATGAACTTCCCTCCATCAGCTCTCCACTGGTCTCTCACCCACATTCCTCCATCGAGAAAGATGCAACTTCGCTCAGAGACTGCACTGCAAAATATGCATAAGAAATAAATCTGTCACCAGGATGAATTTTAATGAAACTCTCATTTGGTGTACCTCTATTATTAACCTTTTATTTAACCAGGCACATCCCATTGAGATCACAGATCTCTTTTGCAAGAGAGGCCTGGGCCTGAAGGGAGTCTAACATCTAGAACCCATTAGTATTTATTGCAAACCAGAAAAAAAAAAATATATATATACTGAAATATGCCAAACGTTTCAGTTTAAAGGTGTTCACTCCAGTAATTGTACAAATATACTGAATAATAATAGTTTTGAAATGTGGGCGCAGACTTAATGTAAACAAAGCTGAATAAGTAGAAAATCATTAGGCTCGTTGTAATTTAGATACATGAACAAATAAAGATGGTAAGTTTAACATTTGACCTGTTTTTAGCCACTTCGGCTGTTTTCGAAGGGAAACAAACATAGCTGACATCTTGGCACAATTTTTTAATATAAAGGACACTTGAACAACAACCTGGGAAAACAAATGTGCAGACATCGTCTCTTACTTTACTTTTATTTTTCCCTGGTCTTCATGATGTTTCATGACATTTGTCCAAGTTGATGTTCTTATTTGACATCTTGCAAATGAACATCAGATAAAAATCATCTATGCTTTTGAATCTGTTTTCTAATTTTCCCTTATAGACGTGATAACATCACCACTAGTAACGGGTGAGTTGGTTTACCACCACAACTTGATAGAAGATATTTTCACTGATACATCAGGTTTAACATTTTGTCTTATTTTCTTGTTATTATTCAAACTTTTTACTCATCCACATGAGAGGAGCACTTACTGGTGAAAACTAGACTTTTACATTTTATCGCTGACAAATGATGACTCTCACCTGGGTGGACAATGTTAACCATTGACATGTTTCCACTGTGTTGGAAGCTGTACAGGAGACAGACTTGTAGACTGACTGTTCATTTCTTTAAGGAGATGAGAAGAGGTACACAGACCTTTAATCTGTGCTAGACTCACTGTATCAAAGAGACATTCCCAAAAACCTTTTTCTGGGTGAAAGATGTCGACAGGCCACAGCACATTACTCACCATGTTTTGGAGCCGTCCCTCCTTTAAGAAATGCTACTCTGAAGTTTTCCTTACAACCATTTTCTTCTAGCCATGACCTTCAGCCTGCACTGGGGGGGGGGGGGGGGGGGGGGG